TTGTGTGTGTGGATGAGGCCCGAGGTATGAGACCTTGGCTTAGCGTTGAGGAGGTGTTATGGGGCTATGGAGATATGCAGCTGAGGGAGGCGAGTGGTGCGACAGTGGCAGAAGCGATGCAGGAGAACGTAGCCGGTAGTATTGTTGACATCAATGGAAGCAGACGTTGACAGCGACCAAAGGACGTGGTAGTAATATCGATTCGATTCCACTAGATAGTAAGAACAACACAAAAACACAAAGAATCTACTCCGCCATAATATGCCCCAAAAGCAATCATGCAACATGTACATCGTCCCCCCACCTTCCAGATAGTCCCAGTTATAATGATAGAAATACACAAAGGTATCAAAACCGCAAAAGAAAACTCCAAAAGCGCCGAAGCCCGGAACACCGACGCTTATCCGTGTGCGTAGAGAATGCGTAGTTTTGCGTGAAAGGACGATAAAGATGAGAACGAAGCTGGCGGGAAAGAGATGATCATACGCGTATTTGACCAAGCTCGATCTCGCGCCTCCGCTCTTCTCGGCTGAGGTTGCGCGAGTGACTGCCTCTCCCCTCTGTACTAGATGGGCGGTTCTCGCTTCGTCCGCGGCCATATTGTGTCCATTGTTCGCTAAGACTATCGGGTCTGCTGTCTGACCGGTCGCGGCCCCAATCGCCATGTGTTTGTGCAGGCGTGCCCACCAACTCCTGACTGCGCTGGTGCCTTGCCTGTTGTTCCCTGTCTTCTGGCAGGTCTATTCTGAAAGTGGTGTTTATGTCAGGACTCGGTCGCGGGTCTCCTGATTTGAGGAGGAGAGCCATTTGCTGGTTCACGCGGTCGTCTTCGGAGTATAGGGCGGCGGGTGGCTGGGAGGGCGAGCGCATGGCGGTGGGGTACATGTTTGGGATGAAGTTGTTGTAGTAGTTTTGGTCGGACCAGAGGTTCTGGCGTGTGTCGGTTTGGCGCTTGGACTTGACTATGCGGCGGTATGTCCAGAGGAGGAGGGAACTGTAGAGGATTGTTCCGGCGGCGCTGATCACGGTGCCGCTTATGGCGGCATTTCCCCAGTGATAGTTGGGCGAGGAGACGAAGTTGTAGGCTATCGAGATAAGGCCGAGTGCGGAGGATGTGAGCGCAGGTCTACACATATGGTTAGTATTCCGCTGTTGGTGGAGGCATGGAGGCCTTACAGGAAGACGCCGTCGGCTTGGAAGCGCTCATTGCGACAGGCGAAGCAGAGCAGTGCTGTGAATGAGTAGCCAGCTGTAAGGAGCGCGACAACAAAGACAGACAGGACTGCTCGGCTGAACTTGAGCTCGTAGTCTTTTCTGTAGAGGCCGGGCAGTATGAGGTAGCTTCGAGGCGTTAGCATGCTTTCGTCTGAGCCGCCTCGAGACGCATGGCAAGCGCTCACCCTCCGAGTATCATCCATGACGCAGCCAGGGCTATAAGGCGCCAGTACCACGGCGTGCCCTCTCTCTTCTCATGGCCCGACTCGCTGATGTTGTGATAGCTCTTGTTGCTAGAGCGCATTGAGTCGATGGTTCGCGCCTTGGGCGGCGGGGTGCCTGGTTCGCGTCTCGGGTAGTGCCTGGCGTCTCTGCTATGACTCTCGCGCAGTGGGAGCGAGCAACCAAGAAGACGTCGGCATGCAGAGCAGAAGCGCGCGAACGATGGATAAACGAGTGACTGTGGCAAACGTCGAGTCTAGTTATGGTCGAATTCCAGAACGCGATATGAGCCTCACTGGCGCCTGGCTGTCTGCTATTCAGCCTGACGCGGTGCAGATCGCTTCGGTCCGTCAAGTGCAGGTGGATAGCCGGGGCGAAGCGGCAGGTGCACGGCGCAATGGTTCCAGCTGGTGGGAAAAACAACAACGAGCGACCAGGACAAGATGCCGTTCGTTCTTATTGAATAGCAACAAGAGCAGAGCAGTAGCGAGCGAAGACGTGGGCTGAACGGGCGGTGGGAGAAGAGGGCGCCAACGTGCTCGTACTTCGCTGAGGCGGAGGACGCCTGCATGCCCGCTCAGCCACTCGACGTCCTGCTGAGCATTGCTGCACCCCTGCCGACATGCCCCCCGTAGATCAACATGGCAGTGAGCATCTTCAATGCAGTGCATTCGACATCGCAATAAAGACTTGCGTGTTGATCAGCGGCTGGGCCTCTCGTCGCGACCATCGCGACTTCTTCCGACGCTCCAACAACACCATGAATCAAGGCCTCCAGCCCGCGACTCCGCTTCTCTTTGTCTCTCCCGCCTGCCCAGGGCGACCCCAGATTCCAGAACGCGTCACCTCCAATTCCCAGCCAAGCCCTCTGCCCATGTCTGCTCAATCTCGCTGACCCGCGCCGCACCTTGGGTAGTGCAGCTTACTCTATGAGCCACCGCTTCTTCTCTGATTTGCCTGCTTCCATCCTTCACTTTCCCTTCTGTTGCAGCGCTAGCCACTCTGTGCTCTCCGGTAGACACTGTTGCCGGTCAGACATGACGTCGCCGCTCCTATCGCAATGGGAAATGTTGCGACCTCATCGTCGACCTTTTGTCATGGTGTTGCGAGTTGTTGGCGGTATGAGTCGGGGTCATGGCACGGGCAGTCTGCCTGGGTTGGTGTCTACGCGGTTCCGCCTACAATAGAACAAGTCGAACGGCACAGTGTCAGACTATTGATCTTGAGCAGAAGCTCATCGCGTCTGGACTCTGTTATACTACAGGACACTCTCTCGCAGATTTGAGAGATTCACACTCGTCGCGTATAGCAACTTTAGGCCTACAGCCCATTGCATAGCCTCGCGCACGTAGTAACCCAGCGCTACATCGTGGCAGAGTACAACATCACACGCCACGAGAATGCTGTTCCACGCCGATAGGTTACGGCATGAGCCGACGGTTCAGCCTCCACGATACCCGGATCATGGTGACGGACATGCGCGAATGGGCGTCAACGCTGCCTTTTCTGGCAAACATCTTGTGCGCGCTCCCCTCCCCACCTAGGCAGATTTGATAGATCTGCGTATTCATCTTGCGACGAGAACACACTACACCTTTCGTGACTCAACTTGAATTGATAAAACGATGAAGCGTTATCTCGATTTCCGTTCTACACAATACACGTATGCGTATGTGGCAGGATGCGGTATCATTCGCGATGCTGATCCGCGCACCTGGTTCGCGCTGCAGGGGCAGCTTCCAGTGCCTCACATGGGCATGCGTGTCATCGGTAGAACCACACCGCATCTTACCTTACAGTAAACCCTCATCAGCTATAGGTCCTTCCGCGATCTCACTACCTGAAGATTCGGGATCATTTCTTTCGGGGTCTCCACGTACAGACCCGTCGGCGCTTCGGGTTCAGGGGCAAGACACTTGCGTTGATGTCGGATAGTCCGAGGGACACTTGATATGAATGAGACGTGATGTCATGATTGAAGCAGGCAGCGGTTATCGATCTTGTCGTTGTTGTGATTTTTGCGGGTGTTTGTCACGGTTTGTGAGTGCCGAGGATTTGGGGCTGGGAATGCAGGTGCCACCGGTCCGGTTCATGCCCCACCTGGAAGCGGGAACCACGTCTTCTTTTTTATTCGAGTCCTTCTGCGTAAAGCAGTACAGCTCAGCGTCCAAGGTAGGTATAAACGTGCAGATTATTGTATACTGAATTAATGAGAAGACATCCATCGATCCAGCTACTCAACCTTCTGGTTGATCAATCTTCAGTAGTATAGTGGTCAGTATTTCCGCTTGTCACCTATCAGGCAACTCGCGGGAGACCGGGGTTCAATTCCCCGCTGGAGAGCTCATCTTTTTTTGCTTTTGCTTACAGCATGCATCATAGGGTCTGGCCTAGGGGCAATCAGGATGGGAGTCGATACTCGCCTGCCACTTCCAAACCTCGACCACCACCACTCCCCACCATGCCGGTCATTGCAAAGTGACGGCCACTTTATATCCTTTTCAACGTTAACAGTGGTATCTCAAGATGTTATCGGAGCTGAGAATGCCTCTGTAGCACACGCGACGCGGAGCAGCATGCTTCTTTTTGCTGCGCCGTGCCAACGAAAGCCACCGCATCTGGTCAGCTTCTTGACGCGATTTACGCCTTATGTCATCGCGTCGTTGGCGCATCAACCTACACAAATCCATCCGAACACTACCGTTGTCACGGCCGGATGCGTACAGGCGCTCTTCAGGCTTCATAGGTCTCGTCAGCTGCAGCTGGTCTTCTCATGTGGAGGAAACTCTGGCCACACACCCAGCACGTAGTTCGAAGTGCCGGATCCTCTATGGCATGTCTTCGTTACCATGCGGTTTAGGGTTCTCTTTGGCGCTTGACGAAGTAACAGCAACACAGGCTCGCTCTGGTTCTGGACCGATATGGATCTCACATCCACCGCAGGTGAATCATAGCTACCAGAAATACACAAGGTGTTGACCATGCCAGAGGGAGCCGCGCGCAAGGTGATGCCGCTTCTGTGAGACTCAGGCATGAAAGGCTAACTCAGAGTTGCATAGTCTCTACATAGCTACGAGCGCAGAAAGACAAGATGTGATTTGAGACACCGCTTTGTCCAAACCTTGCGAATACGGACAAGTCCACCATCCTGCACGTGGTCGTCACCTTGCCAGTGAAAGCTAATGCCCATCACCTGTTGTTTCATTAACGCATAGTTAGGTCACGGTCTAGCTTTCTGTCACTACCTCAAGCACGAGCTCCATTCACGCCTGGTCTGAGCGTTTAGTGGAGTTTTACACGCCTCACTCATATAAACACCCCCTTTTGGCGAGCAACTCTCACTACACTGGCTTTCTCCTCTACTTTCTTAAAAAGATCCGAGAAACGCCTTCATTCTCACCCCTACGGCGCAACTGGTTTGTTTCACACTCAACCCACATTCTTGGACTGCCTGCTCACTGTTTCAGACACCTTTGTTCACAAGCCTTCCCAACCACGACCACATCCAACCACATACGAACAATACCAAAAGCTTTCCACCAGTTACGTACGCAGTTAACGAGATGTCTGCTACCAAAATCGCCCCCGATACATCTGATGCCGTCACCGTCGACAGTACTAACACCAACACTCCTGTTGATGCCAAACAAGAAGCTCTCAAGAAGATAACGGCAGAGAAAGAGGCCAAGCGCATCGAAAATGTTGCTATCCAGAAGAGAAAGCTCGAAGCTGCTAAGCAAAAGGCGGCGCAAGAGTTGATATCCAAGGGCAAGAACGCGATCCTCAAGGCCCAGCCTAACCGACCTTCACGACGACCGGCAAAGAAGAACCGAAGACCGCTTCCCCCTCCTGCCAACCGGACTCACGAGACCGAAGCGACTATGGAGAAGACGAAAGCTAGCGCTGAAGAGAAACGTCTTGCCCCTCTGCGAGTTGTTCGCCCAAGCTATAGCTACAGCGACATCGTCGAGCAGCGCGTTGTCGATGGCGTCGTTGAGCGCATCACCCATACCAACTATTCTGCGCCTGAGTCCTGTGCCGCCCACAACCACGACGAGGGTATCGAGCAGCGCATGGCCGACAGCGTCACTGATCCTACTTTCCAGTCCACTGATGCGCCCGAGACTGTCCAGTCTGACACCGACGTTGAGTCAGATAGGGCCACAGAACCTGAAACTGAGTCAGACGAAGAGCCTCCTCAGTTAGTTCAAGAGCTTGCCTCTCCTGAGCAGGTCACTGTCCCTGAAGACGACGACGATTCCGCCGAAGCTTCCAGTATCACTGCACCACCCCACATATACATCACCGCTCCGATAGATGATGCGGATGAGGAGCCTTTGATGACTGAAGATCTGGCTGAGGCAATTGACAAGTCGTCCGAACCGATCAAGACAAATGTCTCTGAGAAATCCACTTGTAGCCCTTCGGCGATTCTGTCGATGCCCAACTCGACTCTATACCCTTCGCGCCTATCTCGCGACGAAGAGGCTAAGTTGGTCGCTATGCACGTCGCGCCCATCGTACTGCCGGCCACTGAAGCCAAGCAGCAGAAGCTTAGTAAGGCTGGGAAGAAGGCCGCTAGGACATCTGAGGTATCTAAGGAGGTGGCTACAGTTGACTCCGACTTGACCCAGGAACCTCTGGAACCCAACTCTGCCGAGACTACGATAGATGTTGTTGAGCCCATTGTCTTAACCGAAGGATCCGCATACGTCGCAACACTTCTAGCGAGGCCCAATGGTTCTGGTGTGACCACAGAGTCTCGCAACCTTCACGAGAAACTCGTCGCGCTTCATGTCGCACCTCCCTCGCTGCCGATCACTACACCCAAGCAGCAGAAGTCCAACCGCAAAGCTATCAAAGCCAACCTCCAGATGTCTACCGCGGTTGAGAAGAAGGACCCTGATTTCATCGCCTCTCTGCTTTCCAAGCCCAACGGCGCAGGCGAAACCCAGAAAGCGCGCGACTTTCATGAGAAGCTGGTTGCGCTTCATATCACTCCTCTCTCGCTGCCGGTCATTGCGCCCAAGCAGCAAAAGACCTCAAAGACCGAGCAGAAGGCTAATAAAGCTGACAAGAAGAAGTCTGTTGCGACCGGGAAGAAAGAGTCTGCCTTTATCGCCTCTCTTCTCTGCAAGCCCAATGGTCCGGGTGAATCCAAAGAGACCCGCGACCTTCACAACAATCTTGTGGATATGCATGTAGCGCCACTCGACGTTCCGGTTTCCATACAACAGGATAAGGATAAGAAAGCTGGGAAGGCCCACAAGTATATTGAGACTTGGACCGCTGACCCTGATGCCGTTGATCCACTGATCGCCAGCATGGTGCCTCCCATTACTGAAGAGCCTATCTTTGCTGTTGAGGAGCTGGGTACAGAGGATGCAACGCGCGACAAGCTGTCTGTCGTCATTGCGACTCCCATCCATGGTTTCTGGCAAACTGTTCTTTCCAAAACCCCTGCCACCGAAACCACCACCGTCGACCAAACAGTAATCATCCCCGACTCCGCCCTAACCACCACCCCTCCCACCTCCTCCCGCGACGACTCATCCTCTGAGTGCGACACCATAAGATCATACAGCACCTCCACCCACTCCACCCCATCCATCCGCCACGCAGCCTCAAAAGCACGCACCACCTTCCTCGGCGCCACATCCCTAGAAACCTTCATCAACACCCTCGACTTCGAACTCTGGGACGGCACAACGACCAAAGACGACATCTGCGAGGCCTTCGCTTCCCTATCCAATCACCCCACACCAACTACTACTACTGGTCTGAATACCGCTAAAATCCAGCGTAAGATCAAGTTGGGTAGCACGTCACTATACGCGTTCCTGCGTCAAATTACGTTCATCGAGGATGATGAAGTGACAGTCGTGGGGGAGGTGATGAGGGTGTTTAGGAAGGCGGCGGGGGAGCAGGTGACGGAAACGAAGCTGGAAGTTGCGTTATGGCTTGCGGAGGAGACGGATGAGGGCAGTCAGCGAGGCAGGCGGTCAAAGCGTTCTTCTCTGGCTGGTGGGGTCTAAGTGCGGTGTTGTGTTGGTGGTCTGGATACTTGCGATGTGGCGTGAGCAGTTCGGCTGCTCCTTTTCTTTCCTTTTTCCCCCAAAAGTTTTGCACGGGTAGTTTTTATTGTTATTGTTATGGAGCGGGTTATCATGGGTTGAGCGAGGCTTCAGGGACGACTGTTTCATATTACTATCATCACTCTAGGGTACCAAAAGCTAGTCCTCCACATCGGTTGAGCTTTAGGCTTTGACTCACCTGGCGCCGGGTTTTGAGTTGGCTTGTCGCTCCCTACTGTGAGTATTGGCTTAGCTATCCCAAAGGGCTGACGATCTTTCTGTCGAAGTTAGCATTTGTTCAAGAAACATAGATATTTATTCAACTGTTAAAGTTTGCATGCCTGACGGGAATGGGGTGAAAGCAATGGGATCGTAAACGTGGCAGTTGTAACTTGTTAGTGTGTTGAGAGATTATTAGACGTGCACATGCATGAGAAAAGGACTTTGTGTTCATGACTTCATTCATATACATCCAGCAACACTATTGATGTGTGCGATGCTATATACAGGGTATTCGTACGACTGCCGCAGTGGCCTAGACCTTCTGCTCCACGCGGTGAGTCTGCTGCTCAGCGCCACCAGCATTCTCCATCTGGTACTCAACAGCCTTCTCACCCGACTCATCCATAATCTCCGCCATGCCACCAGAACCCTTTGTAAGCTCGGCACCCTTGCGACCAATAAGGTGCCAAGGAAGGTTGAACATCTCGTCGAGAGATTCGAGCGACTTTCCAGAAGTCTCGGGCAGGAAGAAGTACACCCATACGAGACCGACGGCTGTGACGCAGGAGAAGAACAGCATGGTGCCTCCGTGAGTCATGGAAATGAACATGAGGGGCACAGCCTTGGAGTTACCATACTGGTTGACAAAGTGGAATGTCATGGCGATGGAACCACCGAGAGCACGGAGACGGAGAGGGTAGATCTCAGAGTTGATGAGGTACTGGATCGAGTTCCATCCGAGCGCCCAACCGAAACCGGAGAAGTAGATCATGACGATGGCGCCCATGGCAGCGTGCTTTTGGCTGGAGCTCTGGGGTACGCCGTCGGCGACACCGGTGTCGATGAGTAGGAAGATGGCCATGTAGAGCATGGATAGGAGCTGGAGTGTGATACCGGTGGCGAGAGAGCGCTTGCGGCCGAGGAAGTCGATCAGGAAGAAGGCGCAGATCATGGAACTGACAAACTTGACGACACCGAAGATGGCTGTGGCAAAGAGCTTCTCTTGTTGACCGCTGGTGCCCATCATCTCAAAGTACTTGGGAGCGTAGATTGTGATGGAATTGGCGCCAGACCATTGCGATAGCAGCTGCGACAAGACAGAGAGCTGAAGACGGTAGAGGTTGGCCTTGCTGGAGAAAAGCTCACGGATGGGTCCGAGCCAAGATGTACCCATAGTAGCTTCACGCTCGCGGTTGAGCTGGTCGTTGATGTCCATAATCTCCGAGGTGACGTAAGGGTGGTCAGCGGGAAGGTTGCGGAGTTGTGCGAGGTTGTCGAGGGCCTCCTCGTGGCGGCCGACCTTGATCAACCAACGAGAACTCTCCTTGGCGAACCAAGAGAGGGTGAAGATGAGACCGGCGAACATGATGTGCATGCTGTTGGGTACGAGCCATTGAGCATCAGTGGCAGACGAGATGTGGATGGAGGAACCCCATGATGCGAAGTAGGCAAGCATGATACCGATGTAGACTGATCCAGCGAAAGCGCAGACACAGAGACCACGGATGGCCCTGGGCGCAGTCTCAGCCAGGTAGGTGGGTGCGACGACGGTAGTCTGTCCGATGCCGATACCAGCAATGAAGCGGCCGGCGTAGATTTGTCCAACGGAACCAGTGATAGAGCTGGTGAGGAAGATGACGATGCCGATAACCCAGACAATGCAGAGTTGGCGAGTAGCCCAGAGACGACCAATCTTGTCGGTGATGAAGAAGGCAATCAGGGAACCCAAGATGGAACCCATTTGCACCATGGATGTGATGTTCGATAGGAGCTCCGCGATCTCGTGCTCGCTCTTGCTGCCGTCTTCTTCGAGTCCGAACTTGCGTTTGAAGGGGTCAAGTTCGGCTGTAGTACCGATGAGGCCTTCGTCGATACCACGAGCAGCGCCCATGAGACCGAAGACTAGGACGAGTTAGTTGGGTGTAGTCTCATGGGAGGTGAGATAACCTACCGAAGACACCATACCAGAGACGCCAGTTAAGGCTCTCCTTGGGAGTGTGCTTCAAGTTCTCCTTCCATGGGTTCCAAACGACCATGATGGGCGATGTTGGTATAGGTAGATCGGAGTAAGGTCGTGATTGAGCTGCGGAACCTACGTCTGTCGGACAGGGAGGAAAGGCAGTGACGACCCAACTGTACAAAGGCGCATGTGCCTCTTATACTTGAACTGATGGTGGGGTACGAGATGCGGAGATCCTAGATGCGAGGCCTGCTAAATCACACCATCCATGAGACCCCAGAGTCGACCCCGGAAGCCTCTACTCCACGTTTGTCCATCGCCAGTAGCGGTCGGCGTCGGTCTTCCGAGCCAGGAATGCCGGATGACCTTCCCAACTGTGGTTTTCCCAACGTTCAATAGGTCGACCCGTCTCGTCGGCCATTGCAGGCGTTGGAACTAACCCTCGCGCAGTAAGCGGACCGCTGATCGTCTGATCAATTACCGATCAAGCGGCCACGCCGGTCGCCTCTCGTGTCTCTCACGGCAGCGCCATCTGCACGTAGGTTACATGCCCAGTAAGGAGGCGGAAAGGTTGGCAGGCTTAGGTGGAGAAAGCTTCCTTGTTCGTGCGTCTTGTGGAGCTTGGGGCCGAGCTAAGGACGAGTCAAGAACCTGGCCACCACACGATGGGAACCCCGCATTATCCCCCAAACGCTCTCGTGTCCCGGATTTCTCTTGGTCTCCCACGTTAGCTGTCAGTCGAGGAAGAGAAGCTTGTCAAGCTCCTCGTAGCGGCCGGGGAGGTGCCGTAAATGCATGTCGCGCTATTGGCTGGTACCATCCCGGGAAAATCTCGCACGCGGGATAAATTACTACGCTATCCTGACGCTGCCTCGCGACGAGACCGTTCGCCGGCAGAATTATGGCCGAGAGGAGCGTCGGAGCAGGGTGTCGGCTTCTGAGGTTAAGCTCCTGGACGAGACCTCGTCTCGCGGCGGTGTGTCGACACAAGCGATGCGGCTCCAACTCCTTCAGCCTTTTCCAGTAGCGCCCGCGTTGTGACTACCCCAAATGGTATCCCGTCCCTCCAATGCATCTGCCGTGGGGACTACACTATCGGACATAGATACGGCGCCTGCAGGATATTTTGGTCGAACTAACGGTGCGCAGGTGTGAAACTGTGTCGCTTCTTCGGTCGCTCTGGCGCTGATACGAGTCCTGGTTGTCGGAGCCTCTGATGGGTCGTAGGACAATGATCCGACTCTTGGCTCTGTACTTGGCTCTGTACCCCAAAGTCCAGCAGGAAGGGTATTCTGCCGTAGTGGCAGCTGAATCGTTGAACCCACAACGGCAAGCATAACATCTCCAAGCGCTTTGTTGTCTTGACGAAAGCCCAGACCGCCGGGGTTCTTCTTGTCTCCACAGAGCTTTGCATTCGCAGTGCATCTTGTCATGCGATGCAAAGAAACAGACAGGTCTAGAGGTGTGATACGTCCACCACCCCCGGTCGGAGCTCCGAGGCTTATCGGTGCGAACGCAGGCGCTCTGACTTGGGGTCTCCACACACACGAGGTGCGCGTGAGATGGTTAGCGAAGACCAAGCTTGCCATGCCTTCACCAAGTGCTTGTGAACAGCGCAAGCCGTTGTGCCAAAGGACGCCCAAGTGCTTGTCCTAGACGTCAACAGAGCAACATTTTTGCTACATCGTATCTTTCGTAGGCATCATCGAAGTCATGTTCTCTCCTCTTAAGCGCTGCGATAAATTTGAGAATCATGCGGGCATCCTTCTGGTCCACAGCGGGCGAGATTGATCGGCTGGTCGGCGATGCCAGTGGGTCTGATCCTTCCTCTTATGCATCGTGTATACAAACGGCTACCGTCGAAGCCACAAGAATCCAAGTGTCGGTGATTGCCGTGCATGAAACATCTACTGAGGTGGTGTTGTGTTCAATCCGCATTGCCGGCTAGGTCGCCCTCAACAGACATTGGCTTTCGTTCAACACATCCATCCAGACATTGTGTGCGTATGTCCGCGGGCGGAGGTGTTGGATGATCGGGTGGATACGGACGCTGTCAAACGCCTCTGAACTGATTAGCCGCCTTGGAAAGCATATGGGGTGGAAAGCACGCACTTACGAGCTCATTGTGGGTATCGACCAAGACGGACCAAGGCGCCAATGTTGGGGATAAGACCCATTTATACGTCTTGTAATCACAACGACTGATTCAAGCCGTGCGGAGAAATGGGATCCGGGGTACGAGGTTCACATGTCACTCTGACAGGGCGCCTGAAGGGTCCTGTACGGTTATCCGGAACTAGTTGTGGGGAGAGTGTGACTGAACGTTAGATCTGGGGTGATGGGAGAATGTCGGTGTGTTGGCGGCAAATGAGACGGCAGGGTGTTTGTAAGTGGCAGTTAGGCGATGAAGCACGTGTTAGCATTGTGCCGTCGCCCCGAGGGAAGTGACGACCAGGAAGTAGGCGCGATAAAGTGAAGGACAGTCAGAGGCAGGTGCGATAAGACCACCGCTGCGCAACAGTGCGCAATCGTCAGCACATCGCGCCTTCAGTCCAGAACGTGAGTAGTGTAATTGTTTTTTCTATACCTGCACTGCCTAGCTATCGACTCAACTGCAGCATCATTGGCAAGGCGAAGTTGTGCCATCCTGTCGACATCGTGCCCGGATTTCCGGAAAAGGCAACCGCGGACCCTCTGTGCCGAGCTCGCTCAATCCTCCTCAGAGTCCCCCTCAGCATCCTCTTCCTCCCCCACAAACCTAGCCCGCTTACTCGGACTAACCTCATCACCACCATCCTCGCGCCCTCTCTTCTCAGCCCTAGGAGTGTCTTCCTGCTCCTGCGCCCACAGTGCCAACTCCAACTCCTCTATCAAATCCACATCATCAGCTTCACCCTCCCCAGCAATCTCTTCCCTGTTCCGAGACTGCTCTATCGCCATCTCTAGGCCCTCGTCGACCCTCGACGCGCGCTGTCGGTAGCAAGCGTTGCCGTTCTTGCCGTGCTCGTGGTATCGATTGCACCATGCGCCCTCCGTGCTCTCTTCGATCTTCAGCGTGAGGTTTCGTCGGACCATACGCAGACTTGTTTGCATGATGTCGAAGAGGAGCTCGGGGTGTAGATGGAAGCCCTTGCGCGTGACTTTCCCAATGATGTGCTCGGTCTTGTCGCCACCCAGGGTGAGTGCGTCGGCCCAGAGGAGTCTCGCTCCACACCTGGGTGATGTATATGTGTAAAGTAAGTTGAGGAGATCAGTATGGACTGACGTAACATCTTTGTCAAGTTCAGGATCCGTGACTTCCAAGTCGTAGTCTCTAGGGAACTGATCGAACTCCGCTGGGATATTCTTGCCCTTCCGCCACGCCTGTTGTGCGACTCGCTTGCGCCGATTGAGCGCTCGGTTAGGGAGCCAGATTTCCTCTGTTTTCTCCTCCTCTGGTTTTTCGTCCTTTTCCTTGTCTTCTTGAGCCTTTTTGCGCTGGTCGTGGAACTTGCGGATCCATGTGTCGGCTACCATGTCGCAGAGATCCCAGAACTTCTCTTGGTAGCAGACAATGTATAGTTGAGTGAGAGTTTTGGCGCTGTAGGGTAGAGCCTGGTATGGGTTGGCGGCGTCGGTGAGGCCGGGAAGGTCGAGGTTGATCTTGGCGTTGCTCTTGAGGTTGCTCAGGATCAAGTATATTTCTTTGTCTGCTATGAACGGGGGAGGCACTGTAGGGGACGCGAACATCCCGTATTGTTCGACTGATTTCCTAGCGGCGGCGCTAAACGGCGTGCGGTTCTTGGGCGGACGTCCTCTTGGCTTTGGTGTCTTTGGTGGCTGCTTGATCTGCTCTTGGGCCTTGTGTGTAACGTACGCTGGAATAAGGTCAGCAATCTGTGATCATAGCACAAGAGAGAGGAGCACTCACATGGATCACTCGCGATGAATCGTCTGCCATCGTCTCTAGCATCTTCTTCAGCCTGATCAATGAAGGCATCGATCTCGCTACCCTGAGCGGCGTCGTACTGGTTTGGCTTGTTGACTGCTCGTCCGGTGCGAGTCGTCACCGGCGCCGCCTCTACGGATTGCTGAGCAAGGTCGTCGTCTTGATCTTCGCTCGCGCCATATCCCGGTGTCGCGTCGCGCTCCTGTGCTGGACTATCAGATCTTCCCACCGACGGCTTCAACAGTAGCTTGGGTCCCGGTCTATCGGATACAGCTTCTGGCGCCGATGGCGCCGGTGTCGCTGACTTCGAGGCTCTGCCTTTCGGTCGGCCGCCACCACGGCTACCACCTTTGGCGCCACCGCGAGGACGTCCCGGCGGCTTTCCCGTCGTGACTGTCTTCTGTTTTCCCATCGAGCTGTTGATGAAGGTTTGCTGATGATACGAACCCGCGGTGAGGTCGATGAGTCGCTAAGTATGTGATCGGTCTGCGGTTGAGAACGAGGGAGTAGTTGCGTTGGTGTTACAGACTACCCGTTGTAGAAGAGAGAAACTAATAGAACCTTCGTAGCCTATTTTGCTAAACTGTAGTGAAGGTGAGCGGTTATCGCTCGATGCGTCCAGGCACGCTAGGCTCCGAGACCGTAGAACAATAGGATGAGCAGACATGCGACAATAGTGAGAAACCCAAAGCGATGCAACCCCATTGGCATAGTGAATACCGAACAGGCACAGGGGCTTGCGCGCTCCCGAAGTGAGAGCGAGATTCTGACTTCTGCCAGATACGTCATCAAGACCAACGGTCTTGCGCTTTCATCACCAATTGTATCGAGAAGAGGAAAAATTGGTCTACGCCACTCTACAAGCATGGAAAGTTCAATCAAGGTCTATCATGTGCAAAGGCCAAAAAGATGAACGAAGAATGGAACCAACAACAAACCTAGAAACCAAATTCAGCCCCCGGCCCGGGGTAACCTTCGCGTCTCACCTGCAACTCCTTCTCTATCGCCTCATACCTCGTGTAAAGCCGTTCCGCTCTCAAGACGCACTCCTGACAAAATATAACACCGTAGTCCTTGTTGAGAAGAAGTGCCAAGGGATGCCTCAGGCAGGGCTTGTCAGACTCACAGTTCTGACCACAACGTTGCTGAGCAACACAGTAGACCTTGTGGCCACATTGTAAATTGTGCTCTTGGAGGTCTGGATTGGGGAACGGTGCCGCCAATATGTTGTCGACCAGGTCGTTCGGGATCTGGAGAGCCGCTACAATTTCACCGCGTGTGAGGGCGAGAGAACGTCGACGGTATTTCTGGAAGAGGTAGTGGTCTACTGGAATTCCCTGACAGACTTCGCAATAGAGGGGTTCTTGACGCGGCCGAAAGTCAGTTGCCAGGATACTTATGTGCCTTGGACTAGAAGAGGACGCATTAGCGATTGACAGAACCTAAAAGCTTCGTCGATAACATACGCCGTAAATGACTTTACGAGGGTCTCTGAGAACTGTGGGTTGGCCCCATTTATGGGGTATCGGCAGTTGCTACCGCATCTCGTATCCGACCCATCGATAACGACAACATGGCCGCAGTCGAGGAGGTGAAAAATGTTCGGCGCGGTTCGACCGTGGTCGTCTACAGTGCCGCTACATGGTCTGATCGTCCGTATCGCACTTGTGACCCTCTCGACGCTGTCCTGTGGTGTGTCCCGCTTTTGTTGCTCCGTTAGAGCTGGAGCCCAGGGCATATTGAAGGGTAGCGAGGTCGTAGATAGCGAGTAATCGTGATGGTCTATGAATGGAGAAGAGTATTCCTCTAGTATAATCGTCTGTCGAGTGTCCAGTAGCGATATTGATAAGTGCTTTGCGCGGCGGTTGTCTAGACAGCCGAGTGACCACAAGGTGCAAACGCGCGTACGAATAACGTGAAAGTGAATCGAAGAAGTGGAAAATCAGGCAGCAAGTCCGAGCTCCCCAACAATACTCTTGCCTCAAGTTTCATTTTCGCGACAGCTCTTGACTGACTTTTGAACACCGCCGGAAGTCGCAATGGCAGCGAATCAAGAGGAGTTCGTCCGCATCGGCTTGCGCGCGACGACAAGCAGCGATGATATACCGACGCTGTGTGCAATCTGTCTTGATGAGCTACAGTCGGGCCAGGAGGTCGACGAGATTCGTCGTTGCGGCCACACTTTCCACAAGCATTGCTTGCTGGCCTGGCTCAACTCATGGAATACACAACATAGCAGCTGTCCAAACTGTCGCCTACCGCTCTTTCCGAGTCGTCACCCTCTACCTGTAAGCATTGTTTACAAAAACAATCCACGCGCATTCGCTAATTGTGACGACACAGCCACCTTTGAGTGATGTCGATGAACAAGGAGATCTGGCGGGCCTATTCACGAGCTTAGACGAACTAAGTAACACCGTGTCGATGCTGGGAGATACGGTGGTGGCTTTTCGCAACCACAACAACTTGCTCCTGAGCGAGCTTAGGCGCCATAACCTTGATGTTCCTGATGCATCGCCAAGCGACCCTCGATTCCGACGTGCGTTAGAAGCCGTTCACGAGTTGAAACCGGTGCCTTCATGTATCATGCCCGACCCGGCAACAGGCGAATACACACCTATAGAGGAGCGTTATCGCAGACTGAAAATCCTGGAAACAGATCGAATTTCCGGCGATGCTCTCGAGGACCGCTGGAGGAATCGCTCTGCGTTCGTGCGCGACCTGGAGCGATTGGAGCAGCTTCGTCTCCAGCTTGGTCCCCAACCGGCTTCAGATAACCGTCCCGAGCCAGGTCTAGACCAGACAAGGTTGCTTATCGAATATGGCGCCCTCTTGAACAAACTCATGCCTGACAACTGGCACTTCACTCCCGACGAGACAGGGGCTATGCGCAGCGAATGGCTAAGGGGTGCTGTTATTGGCAGCTTTGATCGGGAGCTCCTGCAAGAGACAAGGTTGTTCTCACTTCTCTCGATTGCAACTGAAAGGGACACCAGGCAAGCGCTTGAGGGTATTTCGGAACGAGCAGTAAGGTTTATGCTTGCAGACTACAGACACAATTGGTTTGTGAACGCAGGCATTTTCCGTCACTACATGGCCAGCGAAAGCCAGTTGGGTGGATCATCGACTGTCGTACCTACACCACAGGCGTTCATGGTAGAACGTCCAGCACGACAGCGAGAAGTGTCTTCGTCGCGTCCGGGCGAAGGTAGTAGATGGCAACCCGGTATGTCGCCGTTCAGGTCCTCGGCCGCTCAGAGCCAGAGTATGAGAGTTAGTTGGTTCGATGAGATGCCGCGTGGAGCCAATGCAGAAGCTCTGCTTGACCCGGAGTATCTCCAGTGGCGGCAAGAGCAGGGTGAACCGTCAAGATTCAACAGTCCCAGAGCCGTGGGAGGAGCAAGCCGTACCATGAGTGCTGAACCTCTCGCTGCACAACAACAGACCCGGCCCGTCGTCAATGGGGGTAGCAGTACGTTCACACAACTGCCTCGTACACCGGACATGGACGAACTTGTGCGACCACCCCAGAACAGAGAGCCAGATCTTCACCCGGAGCAGATGAGTCAGCGAGGAGAAATCCATGAGGCCATCTTCAGCGAGCTGCAACCGCTAATTCCTGGACCCCAAGCACAAACAGAGGCATCCAGACAGTGCCCTCGCCAGGCCATTCACGACCGCAGCGTGCAGACCAATGCGAACGCCATGGGTGCTCGGGTGATCCGCATATTCCGACACACTCTTCATCGACGCCGGTCAAGGTAGAAGAATACATTGCAAACGGCGAAGACGGAAGTCGTGAGGGAGACATGGAGGGCGTTTGGGCGAGGAGTCAAATGCGTGAGCGACAGACGGGATCAGAGAAAGGCGAGGGACATGAAGGTATAATGACCTGCAACATTCGTGAAGAGACGACTTCCAATGCAAGTAAGGCCCCGTGTTCAATGTTTGAGGTTGAGCTCGGTGATGTCGTATCTAGGTGGTGATGTGTGAAGCATGCCGAGGGGGAAGTTGGATGACTGAGCGGATGACTAAGCCGCCAGCTGCAAACACGCCAAACAGCAGGGAAGGCGGGTGTTCGCTGATAGGTGTAGCCCGCAGCTATCACACCTCACTCACCCAGCGCGCCTGCTCGTCTAGTCTGCCTCGCCATTTGGACTGTGCCTGCTAATGGAGACGCGGCTGCTGCTCCTACAGGACGCTGGACTCGCTGGGGGTGGCTCATAGCCCGCAATTCCGAAAGGTACCCATCCAATTGTCCCGCCCCAGCATGCCACTCTCGTCGGCTATCGCGAAACATCCCGCCCGCCATGTCTGACGGCGGCCCTGGGCACCTCCAGCCGCCGTCTCTTTCTGCCCACGACGTGTCGCCGCTGATGGGCTCGCTCTCTAATGTGCTCGCAGGAACTTCTCACCACGCCGGCCACAGGTTGCCCACCATTCAGCCTGCATCGCCGCCGAACAAAGGCGCGCCGCACGCTTCCACGACGCCCCCGCGCCCTGCCTTCTTTTCCGTAGCCAGGGGCCACCCACATGCGACTGCCATTGCCAGCTCTGGCTCCTCGACTACCGAATCCTTCTCCGAGTTGACGTCGTCGTCGTCACGGGACTCGCTTCCCAATCCCCCCGGGCGCAACGCCCCGACCACGCCCCAGAAACAGGCGCGCACCACCAGGCGGAAACACTCGAACAAGTCCACGGGCCGATGGAGTAGGGGAGGCGGCTCGTCAGATGATACCGGCTCCGACCGCAAACCGCCCACCTCGCAGCCCGTAGAGCCCGCGCAGAGCGCTGCTCGCTCACCCCCGACTGCGTCCAAGACGCGCCAGCACCCCTCTATTGCTACCAACACCGCCTCGACGAGCCAGCCGCGATTCATGGCAACAACCTTTGGCGGTCCTTCGGGTGATTCGCGACGGGGAGTCGTCTCTCCTCGCCCTAAGGGACGCGGTATGACGCAGCCACACTTTATACACATGTCATGTCTGACTGGCCTATGCAGAAGCGAAGAACACCCTCTGCCGCAATGTCACCATTTACGGACACTGCCGGTACGAAAACAGTAAGTGCTGCTGGCCGCGCCTGCCGAATCCTGTGGTGACCCTGTCTAGCCTGCCCCTACATCCACGACACCCTCAAGTTGGGCCAGAATGAGAACGCCAAAAAGAGATTCAATGTTGATTCTCCCTCCTTCACGCCTCTGCAGGCGAGCACCAATGGATCTGTGACCCCGTCCTCTCGCAGTGCCGCCATATCCCCCAAGGCGGCCAATGCTGCCGTCTTCACTCCCAAATCGCAACGCTCCGGTGAGTCCTGAGCATTCGCAAATGACTTCTATATGCATGCTGATCGTCTCAGCCGTCACCACCCCGCATATGCACGCGAAAGAACCCGCCATTGATTGGAATTCACATGACTTCCAAGATTTTGTCCCGCAGTCTTTCGAGGGTCAGCAGATGGTGCGTGGCTTTACTTGATATATCTGTCTTCAATTCGTGACCTTGGCGCACGTTCTTACATCCAGTTCTCGACTCACAACGCCCTAGGTGGACCCCAACGTGGGCTACGATCCTTTCAGCACACCGTCCAGCATCTCTACCCTGGCAGGTGCAACTCACCAAGCTGCTACCATCAACCCGTATGCACAAGATGCTTCGACGACGTATTTCCAGAACGCCAACGCGTTTCAAACTCCAGCATACCATCTGTACTGGCCGGTAGGGCCTCAGCCGACGGGTCTGCTTGCTTACCAGCGTACTGCACATGATTTCTTCATACCTGACGCTCTTCGGGAAGAGTTGCAAAAGAAGGCGGATATTGCACGTCAGGTCGCGCCGAATAGTACTTTGCCGGTCATTGAGCAGTTTCACTCCTTGTTTTGTTTAGACATGTCACCCCAGAAGAACACGGCGCCATTTGGGTACGCCAGCTGGATCTACAAAGCTGTGTCAAGCAAAGATGGCAAGACGTATGCGCTACGCCGTCTGGAAAACTTCCGCCTTACAAGCGAGACTGCAATTCGCTCCGCCCAGCCATGGAAACGCGTTTTGAACGGCAATGTGGTTACAATCCACGAAGCGTTCACTACTCGAGCTTTTGGCGATAGTTCTCTAATCTTAGTCACGGACTACCATCCAAATTCGAAGTCACTTGCTGATGAGCATTTCAAGCCGGTGCAGCGTTTCCACGGGAGGCAACCTGCATCATCGCACGTACCGGAGCAAGTGTTATGGGGCTACATTGTTCAAATTGCATCGGCTCTAAAGGCCATACACGGTTCGGGTCTCGCAGCGCGCCTCATCACACCTTCGAAAATACTGTTGACGTCAAAGAACCGGATACGACTAAACGCATGCAGTATTATGGACATAGTCCAGTTTGACAATGCGCGTCCCGTGCCCGAACTGCAAGCAGACGACCTCGTTCAGCTAGGACGACTAATACTTTGCATCGCGAACAACAACGCCACAGCCCACTTGCAGATGCAAAAGTCGATGGACTATATCACTAGAAGCTATACAGCCCGTCTGAAGGAGTGCGTACAATGGCTGCTTAACCCTCAACCAGCACCAGGCGCACCGTCGTCTCCTACAACACCAGCGCCGATGCAGAAAGACATTGACACCTTCCTGGGAGGTATCGCCGACCAATTCGCATCAGTGTTCGACAGCGAGCTGCATGCCCAGGACACGCTTACAGTGAACCTCGGAAAAGAGTTGGAATCATCGAGATTGGTCCGTTTGCTGGTCAAGCTCAATATGATCAACGAGCGACCAGAACTAGACGCCTCCCAAAACATGCCCGGCAACAGTGGCGCAAACCCATCATCGGTATGGGCAGAAACTGGAGAGCGCTACTACCTCAAGCTCTTCCGCGACTACGTCTTCCACCAAGTAGACGCCAACGGACACCCGGTCACTGACCTCGCGCACGTTCTCGACTGCTTAAACAAGCTCGACGCCGGGACCGACGAGAAGATACCGCTCGTCAGCCGCGACGAGCAAAACGTGCTGATAGTGAGCTACCGCGAAGTAAAGCGGGCACTAGAGTCAGCATTCCAGGACTTGGTCCGGGCGGGACGTGTTTCGGGGAAATAGGATTCCTCAACCCCCAGTCCACCCGGCTAGCAGCATCGTTATGGATGGACGGAAGAAAAAGGGTTTCTCATTAAAGGGGCTGCAGCGAGACTTGTGTCGACAAAGGGCCCAGACGACGCGAATGTGAATGTGAATGTTGTTCGTGAGGAAGAAACGATTGGATGGACGAATGAATTGGAATGGGTTGCAGACGAGCTGTTGGAGATGCTTGCATGAGTTGCGTATTACTGTTGTATCGAAGGAAAACGAGATGGGGATAGTAGGGATTAGAGGAAACACGTATTATTCATAGCGCAATGAAAACGCAATTCTAGCTTCATGGAGCACCTGTTCCGTGACTTTAGCATGAATAGCACAGCCACAATTTCTCACAGGAAGTATATATACAGCAAACGACATATTATTATGTTGGCGTACAAAGGCCTTGTCAAGACTTTGATCTTTTTCTTTTCTCCGCGCCGCAAAGCCTGGAACCATCTATAGAGGCAAAAGAGATGAACACTCGTACAAGATAAAAAGCTAGAAGCTTTAAAAAAACGAATGAAGAAAGTTGATGAAGCAGACAAGTGAAGTCGCAAATCACTACAAAATGAGTAGGTGAAAACAAGAAAAGAAGGAAAGATGAAGGGAGAAAAACCGCATACAGAAGATCTGATCTGTACACATGCATGCCCGCCGAAGATAACCCCCCAGGTGAGCGGTACTCCTCATTACCCACGAGTCTGTCTGTCCTTTCGCCAGCTCTGGACTTCAGACCCGCTTGCGTATCCGATAAGAAGAGCCATCTATTGACTCTTCTTCGCGCCCCCCTTCCTAGGCAAACCCGCCTTCCTCCTCGCCTCGCGATCACCCTCCGCGAGCCACTGGCTCGCCTTAACCATCTGAACAATGTTTATCCACTGCTTGACAGCCATAAAGGGAGCGGATGTAAGCATGCAGATCCAGGGCACAGTCGAGTCCATCTTGTTGGCGCGAGCCATCTCCATGGCTGCAGCGGAGAAGGGGCTAGCGAAGAACATGGACGGCTTGGGAGCGGCGGGGGAGCCGGGCTGGATGGACGAGGGGTTGTTGAGGTCGGAGAAGAGGGTTGGGGAGAGGAGGGGCGAGCTGAAGGAGAGTAGGTAGAGGGCGATGAAGAAGATTTCGTTCATGGCGCAGAGGGTGAAGAGGACTTTCTGTGGGTGGGTTGTTAGCATATGGCTTTGCGATCGTGCTACACACACGAGATTCCAGTTGAGTATGAGTAACGTACGTTATTGGAGTAGTACTGCTTCAACAACCAACTCCTGCTCTCATTCACGTTCTTGTGGCTCTGGCCGCTGCCGCCCATGCTCAGCGTCGCGTACATGTGCATGTAGTGGCTAGCCAAGTCGAGGGAGATGAGGCCCTGGAAGACGATGCTGAAGCGCGGGAATGCTTGCGCCAAGAAAACGAGCAGACACGTTGTTGTACACCTGTCCGTGACCATGTCGAGCACAGCTCCAAACTTGGTGCTCTGTTCGTAGGCCCGCGCGGCGTAGCCGTCGAGTGCGTCGAGCAGGCAGGATATGCTGTAGAGGAGCGTGCATGTGCGTGGGTGGAGGGGCATGTAGTAGAGCGAGATCAGGGCGAGGAAGACGCGCGAGTAGCCTGTGGGAGTGTTAGCTTGTGTATGGTGATATGGAAGGG